CCACAGCAAATATCATCCTCAATGGGGAAAAACTGAGAGCTTTTTCCCCTATGGTCAGGAACAAAACAAAGATGTTCACTCTCCCCATTACTATTTAACATAGTACTGGAAGTCAGAACCTCAGCACTCAGAGAACAAAAATAAATAAATAAATAAATAAATAAATAAATAAATAGCATACAAATTGGCATGGAAGAAGTCAAACTTTCACTATTTGCAGATGACATGATACTCTATGTAGAAAATCCAAAATACGTTTTTACTCTTTCTGATTCTTTTTTTTTCCCTGACTAGATAATTGTCTTTGACTTATCTTTGTTTTAATTGACTCTTATTTTTAGTCTAGTCTGCTGTTGAAGCTCAGTTCAGTCACTATATTCTTTAGCTTTAGGATTTCTGTTTTCCTTTTTTTAATTTATTTTGAGAGAAAAAGAGACAGTACAAGTGGGGGAGGGGCATAAAGAGTGGGAGAGAGACAGAATCCCAAGCAGGTTCTGTGCTGCCAGCACAGAGCCTGACATGGGGGTCAAACTCATGAAATTGTGAGATCATAATCTGAGCCGAAACCAAGAGTTGGATGTTTAACTGACTAAGCCACCCAGGTGCCCCTCTGTGTTTTTTTGTTTGTTTGTTTTGTTTTGTTTTTTTTATGATTTGTTTCTTTATTATCTCTCTCATTTTCATGGATTGCTTTCCTATTTCCATACAGTTGTTTGTATGTTCTTTCTTGTTCATTGAGCTTCTTTAAGAGGATTGTTTTTTTTTCTGTATTTCATGTCAGTTTATAGATCTCCATTTGTTCTTTAATTGAAATATAATTGACACATAATATTATATTTGTTTCATCAATAGAACATAGTGATTTCACAAGTCTATACATTATGCTGTGCCTACCATAAATGTGCTATCATCTGTCATGATATAATGCTATTACAATACCATTGATTATATTCCCTATGCTGCCCCTTTTATACACATGGCATGCATTCCATAAGTGGAAGTCTCTATGTTTGACTCTCCTTCATCCATTTAGCCCATCCCCCATCCTTCTTCCTTGTGGCAACCTATAGTTTGTTTTATTTTTCAAGATTGTTTTGGTTATTCAGAGTCCCTTGAGTTTCCAAGTGAATTTTAGGATGGAATTTTTCTATTTCTGTAGAAACACCATTGAGATATTAAAGAGATTGTTTTATATCCATAGATCACTTAGGTAGTACTGTCATCTTAACAACACAATTGGCCCTTGAACAAGGGGGTAGGGATGTCCTCCCTCCAATTAACAGTCAAATATCTGTATATAACTTGACTTCCCAAAAATTTAACTAGTAGTAGCCTACTGTTGATTGGAAGCCTTATCAATAGGTATTTAGTTAACATATTTTTGTGTCATAAATATTATATATTCTACTCTTAAAGAAAGCTAAACAAAAAATGCTATTAAGATAATCATAAGGAAGAGGAGACACATTTACAATACTGTAGATGTATTTATTGAAAAAATTTCATATAAATGGACCCATGCAGTTCAAATTCATGTTGTTAAAGGGTCAAGTGTATTGTATCCCAATCTATGAATAGGAAACATCTTTCTGTTTATGTGTATCTTACTTAGTTTTAGCAACATTTTATAGTTTTCTGTGTCCAAATTTATTACCATCTTGGTTACATTTATTCCTAAGTATTTTATTCTTTTTGAAATATTGTAAATAAAATTGTTTTCTTATTTACATTTCTGGATGGTTTAGTGTTAGTATATAGAAATGCAACTGATTTTTTTTGTGTCATTTTGAATGCTGAAGCTTTGCTGAATTAATTAGTTCTAAATTTTTTTTTTGTGGAATATTTAAGGTTTTCTACATATAAGATCATGTTGTATGCACCAAAGGTAATTTTACTTCTTTCTTTCAATTGAAAAGCTTCTAATTTATGTTTCCTACCTAATTGCTTTGACTAGGACCTCCAGTTTTATCTTTCCTTAAAGGGCCAAGAGTGGGAATCCTTGTCTTTCTCCTAAGAGAAAATGCCTTCAGAGTTTTATCTTTCATATAAGACCTTGATTATGTTGAGGTACTGTACTTTTATTGCTAGTAAGTTTAGTGTTCAATCATGAAAGTGAGTTTAATTTTATCAAATGCTTTTCCTGATGACTGTGTGTTTTCCCCCAATGACTCGGTCAATGTAGTGTATTACACTGATTGATTTTGTGTATGTTGAACCATTCTTGCATTCTAGAAATAAATCCTACTTGGTCCTAGTAACTTAAACCTTTCTTTTCTTTTCTTTTTTTTTTTTTTTAAATTATTGAAGGTCTTTCTTTATATCAAAACTCAAAGACCCTTACCATCATCTACTGAGTTATACAACAGATTCTAGTTCAAATTGACACACAAAAAGTAAACTAGATTTAAAGTGTTGTATTTAAAAACAAACAAAAAAATACAGTTTTCCTTGTGGGGTAATTAAAATAAGTGGAGAACTGACACTAAAAAGAATTAGAAACACATACAGGATAATTATTCTGTCTTATTCAGAGAATTACAGTTAGCTGGTCAGATTTATGTTTAAGATATTTATCCATACTTATCTAGACTTTTCAGAGGCTACTATACTAGTCTACTATTCTAAACTCTTTTATGTTAAATATGAACACTTTCCCAATACTACTTTTAAGTCACATCTCATTTATCTTCCTCCTTATTAACTGCATAGGCTTGTCTTAAATAGTTGAAACATCTGTAATATACTACAGAGTTTGCTTAGAGGTACTCTGTTAATATACTCGTGTGGCCAGAGAAAAAACAAGCATTATTAAATATGAATGCAATCCTTAATAACACAATTGAACATTTTTTTCAATGAAAAAGTCCAGAAAGAAGGTCTCATTCTATAAAGATTTATCATTTATAAGTCACAGTGAAAGGAACTTGAGTAATTTACCAAGTTTTCTATTATATACGTTAGAGATACCTCACTAAAAACTGGTATCTCACACAACAGAATAACATTTGCTGAATGTAATACTGTAGTGACAGTACTGAGGTTGATTGTTAGAGACATTGGTTCAATAACAAAAATCAAAAATAACAGCTGGAAATTTATCTCATTCAATGTTCAGAGATGAAAGGGTTAAACATTAATTCCATTGTTTTCTGCAGATAAGTTCTTTTTTTCATACTGAAATCTTATTGCAATTAAATTCTGATATGTTTCCAAGCTACTGTATGAAGAAGATGCTGAAGGCCATCACTATACAGCATACTGCAACATAAAGACTCTTCCATTCACCAATTCTGGTACACTTGCAAAATATACCCAACAATCCAGTTTTATTTCTGTTCAGGGGGCTGTATGCCAAGGATAGGATATAAGCACAGGTACATAGAAACAGCAAGATTACTTACAGTCAAAAGACTCTGAAAATTGAAAATGGCAGACATAGTGAGACTGGCAAAGCTCAGACTCCACCAAAAAAAATTGCTAGAACTAATACAGTAGTATGTGAATTCAGCAAAGTTGCAGGATATAAAATCAATGTGCATAAATCTGTTGCATTTCTATACACATTCACCACTGAAAACACCAAATAATATCTATTCATATAACAATTCCACCTGAAGAACTGAGGGCCAGCTGAACAGCTTCTATACCATAAAAGACAGAACAAGCAAAAAAGAACACTAAGATAGATGGAGGCATGGTAACAAAGGGAACCCATACACCTGATACTGTATAAACTGCAGTAAAGAGGGATAGTACAGAGGGACTGGGAATAGATTCTTCTGTCCTTGGTCACACACATACACACACACACACACACACACACAAACACACACACACGGATGAAGTTTAATAGATTAACTAGAATATAAAAGGGACAGCACTAGAACTCCACCAAATGGCAGAGGACCTGTGAAAACGTTCTCCAGACCAAAGGGACTGTCTCGCTGCCTCAGGAGCCCTGGGTCTGCAAGCCCACACTATGCCCAGTCATTCTGGGGCACAGAAAAAAAAATCCATGCTTTAAAGATGTGGAGAGCTGCAGGAATATTCTCTGAGTCAGAGGGACCAGTTTGTTGCCTCAGCAAGCCCTGGTCCACAAGCCCAGAGTTATCAGCAGCTCCGGTAACTCTAGGGCACAGAAAAAAAAAAGCCACATTTTTCTCTTCTCTTCTTTCTTTAAAAGCTATAGCTTCAAAGAGCAACTAGTGTATAAAAGAGCCAGCCCTAGAACTCTGCCAAATGGCCAGGGGAGCTGCTGGAATGCTCTCTGGGTAAGAGATGACAGACACGGTCTACACTCCTTTTTCCATCTTGAAATCACACACAAGTGTACAGTTCCAGCACCCTAACTGGCCTGTCCCCTCAGTGAGCCTGGGGCTCATAGCGCATACAAGTCTCAGCATTCTCACCAAGGTGGCCACAGGGTAGTGCCTACTGAGACACCTCTGGTTGGTGCTCACTACATCACCAACCTTCACACCAAAGTGACACAGGTGCAAAGGCACCCCAGAATACTCCAGGCCACACCACTTTGGCTTCAGTTGGCTTGCTGAGGCACCCTTGGTGCAGAATGCTCCAAAACCACTCGGCTGAAATCTAATTTAGATCCAACAGCCCTGCCAGGTTGCCGCTGTGCAGAGCAAAACCCAGAGCATACTTGCATCAGTTTCAGCCACCCTGCCAGGGTAACCCTATGTGGAGTACCCCAGAACACACTAGAGTTGGCTCCAGTTGCCCGGCCAGGGCAACCTCCTTGTTGAGCACGTTGTGACACACCAGTTTGCATCCAAGTCAGCTTCAGTTGTCCTGACAGTTCAACTTCACTGTGAAGAGCCCAGGGTACTTGGCTTGCAACCGCTTCAGCTTCAGCTGTCCTTCCAGGACATATTTTTTGCAAGAGCCCAGGGACCACACCACCCCACACCCATTTTAGCTTAGCTGTCATGCCAGGGTACCCCTAGGCAGAACAACCCAGGACCACTCAGCTTTTACACTGCCTCAGCTACAGCTTCCCTCTCAGGGCAACCTCTGTGTAGAGAGCCCTGGAATACACTGGTTTATATCCATTTCTGCTAATTCTGTTAAGGTGACCTCTGCATATAGTTTCAGATATCTGGCCATGGCACCCTCTGTGCAAAGAGCTTGGGGACTTGCCCACACACTGCTGACCTCCCAGCCCACATATTTCTTCAGCTCTAGGTTCCCAGCCAGGACAAGCCCTGCATGGAGCACCCAGGGGCATCCTGGCTTGCACCCACTTCAGGTTCAACTGTCCTGCCAGGGACAGAACATCAGAACACCTCAGCATACATTCACTTTAGCTGTACTGAGAGGGTGGTGGCTGTGTAGAAAGTCCCAGGACACCCAGCCCATACCAGCCACAGTTCCACCCAGCCAGCAAAAGTCACCAAGCACACACAGTCTACATAGGGGATGACCATACACAAGACCATTACTTCAAGTTTAGGAGAAGTAGCTGTGCCAAATAATCTGTAGAAACAAACAGAAACTCAATCAAAATGGAGAGACAGAAGAAGCTTCAAAAGAAAGAATAAAACTAAACCTCAGAAATATTATAAGTGAAAGAGAGATAAGCAATATATCTAATAAGGAATTTAAAGTAATGACTTTAAAGGTGCTCACCTGGCTGGAGAGAAGAGTAGATGAACTCATTAAGACCTTCAATAAAAACATAGGAAATATAATTAAAAAAATAACCAATCAGAAGTGAAGAATACAATAACTGAAATAAGAAACACACTGGAGGGAATCAAGAGTAGACTAATGCATACAGAAAGATGTATCAATGATCTGGAAGACAGGGTAATGGAAAACACCCAGGCTGAACAGCAAGACAAGAAAATAATTTTTAAGAATGAGGATAGGTTGAAGGATCTCTTGAACAACAAATGAAAAAACATTTTCATTACACAGATTCCAGAAGAAGCAGAGAGTGAAAGGGGCAGAGAACTTATTTGAAGAAATAATAGCTGAAAATTTCCCTAACCTAAGGAAGCAAATAGTTATCAAGGTCCAAGAAGCACAGGGTTCCAAACAAGATCAACCCAAGGAGGTTCACACTATGACACATAATAATTAAAATTTCAAAGTTTAAAGGAAAAGAGAATTCTTAAAGCAGCAAGAGAGAAGCAAAAAGTCAATAAATAACTAATGGGTCAATGAAACAATCATGAAATTAAAAAAATAGATGGAGATAAATGAAAACGTAAACATAATGGTGCAAAATCTTTGGGATGCTGAAAAGCAGTTCTAAGAAAAAATATACAGCATTACAGGTCTATCTCAAGAAACAAAAAAGAGGTCAAATCAACAGCTACCTTTACACCTAAAGGAAATTATTTAAAAAGGGCAAACAAAGCCCAAAGTAAGTGCAAGGAAGGAAATAATAAAAATTACAACAGAAATAAATGACATAGGACTTGTGGGAAGATGGCAGCTTAGGAGGACGCTGGGCTCACCACGCATCCTGCTGATCACTTAGATTCCACCTACACCTGCCAATTCTTGAAAACCGCAGAAACTAGAATGGAGTCTCAGAGTGAAGTGTAGACAGGGGCCACAGAGAGGGTAGGAAGAGCTGGGAGGCAGTCAGAGTACTCAGACCTCATGAAGGAGGCAGAGGGGCGGCCCTCCGGCCAAGCGGAGACCCTGAGTCTGGCTCGAAAAAGCGGAGGGGCCAGACGAAGTGTGTTCCGAAAAGTGCAAGCGGGACTTCCTTAGCATCTGGGAGGTCATAAGTTAACAGCTCTGCTCGGAAAGCAGGAAGCCTGGAGGACAAGGGGAGGGAGAGTTGCTGAGCCCCGGGAGGACAGAGTTCAGTTTGGAGGGGAACAAAGGTGCTCACCAGCGCCATCTCCCTCGCCCACCCCCCAGCCAAAATCCCAAAGGGAACCAGTCCCTGCCAGGGAACTTGTTTGCTCCATGAAAACACCCAACGCAGTGCTTCTGCGGTGCCACCCCTCCAGCAGCGGGTCTGACTCCCTCCCACTGCCACAGGGCCCCTCCTGAAGTGGATCACCTAAGGAGAAGCGAACTAAGACTGCCCCTCCTGCCCCCATGCACCTTGCTGACCTATCCCAGGTAATACGCCAGATCCCCAGCTCCACAAGCCTGGCAGTGTGCAAG